GAGACATTTGTTCTAAAAAATGAGGACGAAATCCGAATGGATTGCCTGCTTTGATCAACACATAAAATGCTCTTTGCCCTAAAAATGAGGACAAAGTCCGAATGAATTGCTTGCTTTGATCGACTCATGATGTGCAAAAGAGCCTACTCTTGAAAGAATTGTAATGTTTCGACTAATTTATTTAGTGAACCTTAGGTTTAAACCCTAAAAGGGAATAAGCAGGTCAAATGGATAGGATAAAATTGATGATTTATTCAAAATCGACCGAATTGCACTAAAAATAGGTAGACTGGTCAACTGAATTGAATGAAATTGATGATCTCTTCAAAATCGAATTGATTGCCCTAAAAATGGGTAAATTGGTCAAATGAATGAAATGGAATTAATGATTTATTGAAAATGATTAGGTTATACTAAAATTGAATGAATTGACAAAATGGATTGGATAAAATTGATGGTTTATTCAAAAATCAATTGAATTATCTACCCATTGGTAGTTTCAAAAAATCATTGCAATGCATTAGTCTATGAGCCTCCTAAAATCAAAATTTGACCTCTATATTTATCGTCTCAACAATGAGAAAATATTTGTGAATTTCTTCAAATTAATGTCCTTTACGCAAGGGAATGTTTACCAATTTTGTTTAAAATGGCCAAAAGATGATTGTTAGATGTCCATATTCTAATGTACAAAAATTGCTTTGCCGTCTTCGAAAAGATCGGATCCTACCTTACCTCGTGCACTACCCCTTTGAATGGTACAAGAAATACAAACGTGCAAGTCTCATTGGATTGTATATCCGAGACACAGAGCGGTTTGTTCCTAACACGGGATTCCCTAAATGGCATTCCCTTCTAAGGTGGATGCATGATGCCAGTTTATCAAAGCGACTAAATATGCAGTACACAAATGAAACATGTCCTAAAGGAACCCCTTTTGTATGTCGGGGAGAGCCTAAAATGAAATGTATTTATGCTGCCAATGCAAAGCATTGAATTTAAACGTGTCACATCAAATAGGCAGGCTCCTAAAGAGTACCATGCCAGAACTCTTATTTCCAAGGGCTTATGAATGCAATGGAGACAAAAACCAAGAAAGGTTAGTTCAATCAGATAAATACACATAACACATTATAGCGAAGCAATACAAAGAGATAAAATAATAAAAGGAATAGAGGGGTTGGATCCCTCCCCTCGTAAATAGTGTCCCTATTAGGGTAAAGCAGACTCTACCCTAGGTAAACTACCACGGATACATGAGGTTGGGGCTCACTAATGTATCTAGACTCGATAGGTTTTAGGTCCTCGAGCTTTTAGACTTGGAAACCAAGGGTCATCAATCCCAAGGTTCTTTGTCGGTGGCTCGAGCGATACCCCAGACACTGCTACGCACACATCGTGTCACGGCTCCATGTCATGAGTGAATCTATCGAAAATCCTCAACTTTCGACTAGAAGCTAAAGACTATGAACCCAAAACTTAAAATGGAAGATTGAGTGACCCCTCGGATCATGTCCAAATGGGTCGCCTAATTCTATTAGGGAAGAGTGGCGTGACAAGTCACTAAAAGAAAAATAAATTAAGGATAAAAAATAAAGCATATGCACGTATGCTAGTGCGCCGTTTGGAGGGGAGGGATCGAGAATTGACGCGGGGCTCTAAGGAAATATCCCCCGACCAAAATGCAATGCAAGGCACGGGATCACATAAATAAACCATCTATCCATCATATCCATTGTACGCAAAGGGGTAAGGGAGTGAGTTGATACGTGCGAAATGCAAAATTCTAAAAAAGAAAAAATACAACCTTAAACATCCAAATGCAATATATGAAAAGGTTAAAAGAAAAAAGATTGACTAAATCAAATTTACTCGGATTCTCTAAATCCCCAGTGGAGTGGCCAGTTGTCGCGTCCCATTTTTCAAAAAAATAAAAATTAATGATGAGTTTAGAAAAAGGGCTTTTGATTCAAATTTTGATTGAAAAATGAATTTTTGATTGAAAAAAGAAAATGAAGAACATGGGTCTAAATGGGACTTGAAAATGCGACGATTTTGACCCACAATAATAGTTTAAAAAGGGTTTTTGAATAAAACTTCGGAGTCACCACTTGGTATTGAGTTAAGGTGTACCAAATCACCTAAAAATGAATTTTAAAAGAAAAAATAGAAAACCCTTTTTAAATGACTACAAGTCTACGAAAATCAGAAAAAAAGATTCGTGAGTCACATTTGAAGAAAGAGAAGGCAAGGATAAGAATCCAAGGCACCCTTTCAACCTAGTCAAGGCTAGTTGCGCGATTTAGTCAAAAATTTTCTTATTTTAATCTAAAGTTTTATCACATTTGGATGTACTATATGAATGCAAACCCTGGAACTAAGATGGTATCGAGATCGAAATTTCACTTCAAAACTCAATTGGTGCCAATCACATTAATTGTGATGCCCAATGTGGGCTCTTTGAAGAGGTCACGAATAATGTAAAAATATGAGACTCTAGAAAAGAAAAGGAAAATAAAAATAATTGTATAAATATACGAGATCTAAAGGAATGCATTATATCGGGTGCGGGGGACTAATGATCGTGACTCAATGTTCCCTTTAACAGAGGGAATACGAGCGTGTTAAGGTTAGAAAGGCAAACTCGTCCATATCCCATACCCAAGGGGTTTTTCCTATCTAATCAAGCAAATGATATAAGTTAATTCTAATGCTTAAATGAAATGCAAGTCTAATGTCATGTTTCTTACAAAGGGGTAAGTAATATACATATAAGGGAAAATATGGGGGAAGGGATATACGTATAAGGAGAGTGTCATGCAGCATGGCAAAAGAGGCCCTAGAAAGTAAAGATATGCATGAGATGAAGTGATTTTATCACACAATCATGATTTAACGCGCAGAATGATCTCTAAGGGTTGAGCATTGGACTAACCCAAATCTATGAGTTCCCACTAGCATTCGACTAGTGAAAAATCGGAGCAAAGGGGCCACACCTAGCATTGGACTAGTGTGGTGACGGGAAAGAGACCACAACTAGCGTTGGACTAGTGTGGTGACGTGACACATTCATTACAATCAAATAAATCATGTAAAGCATAATAAAGCAAATAAAAACATAAACCACATAAAACACATAACATGTAAGCATGATATCTAGATGCAAGACCTTAGGAAAGTGAGTAACACATAACACATAGGCATGCAAAAACACACAAGGCAAATAGCACATAAGCCCTATCTATTACATCGGGGAGGCCTAAACAATCTAGGAGGGGGAAAAGCTTGGAGAAGTAAAACCTAACTATTACAACTTTGGCATTCAAGTGCCTTTCAAATAATCAAAATTGAATTGAAATAAATATACAAAATTAAAGCCAATTAAGAATGAGTATATACTTGAATGTTACGTCAGCTATTTTCACCGTTTTCTTGGCCTTCTACCCATAATGCAGTTACCTGCGATTCAGTTGGCTTATTGTCGACTCTCTGGTCAACACCAGGCAGAGTACGCAGAATTATCTTATAGCTAGATAAATTAGGGGCATTGCTTAAGCTCTTAAAAAATTTTGCATATGGATTGTTCTCAAGAACAGCCATAATTTTTTTTATTACATCTTTTGATAGTCTTGGACAGGCAGCTTTACAGTTAGATAGTTCAACGTCATGAAAGAACAATTGCATATTACTGCCTGGGTTGCTAGCAAGGGTCAAACTGTTCAAAAAATGATATACTTGTCCCTGTACTTTAAATGTATACACTCCTTTGTTTCGTCTTGAAAGATTCTTATCACATTTAATACCAAAAGATGTGAATCCAAAGTGATTATTGTAAGTTCTAATCAATTGCCTAAATGTTTCTGCTTCCTCAGAAGATGAAGTTAAAAGTTCTCTCAAAACAACTGGAAGCTTATTCTGCATGAGGACTACATCACCGTTAGCACAGCAAAAGTTTGCCGTTTCTGAGTAGAACTTTTTAGCTCCACAATGCGGACAGTCTTTTTGTTTTGGCAGAATATCAGGAGTGTCAACTATATAGTCTAACAACACTCTTCCTTTCTTAGGAGTGCTTCCTAAAGTAAAAAACTATATATATAATATCTGACAACATTAGAAACTTTTATGGTAATATTCTTTTTCAATGAAGATAAAGTAGCAAATATTGACTATAACCTGAACGTTTTCTTTTCTTTGGCACATGGTTTTGCCGTTCATATGTCGTTTGCATTCCTTGATCTTGCAGTGAATGGTTCACACATCAGATCATAACTTTAGTAAATAAAATACTAAGTAAATGATACATTAAAAGTTCAATGAACCATAAAAGGAATTACCTTTGTTATGGTTCATAGGTATAGCAATGTTTTCAGAATTTCTTGATGCCTGAATTATACTGGTGTATGTAGGTATACTTCCAGTACAAACTGGCTCAGCAGGCTGGACACTGTCATTGTGAGACTTTTTTGATTTCCATCTAGTATATGCCTGCTGCCTATTTTTAGGAAGCTTAATATTGTCATTGTTTTCAGCTTGAGAGCCATTTTCCAGAAGTTTTCTATTAATATTCAACAGAGGAATATTGACTGGTTTAGTAGAAGATTGTTTCTTCATTTGAAAATGATATAAGCGTAATCTTTTTTATTTCCATCTAAGGTAAGCCTGTCTTCTGTAGTTTTTCTTCTCTGAATGGATACCTAAATGTGGCAAGCTTATAAAAGGAATGCCTTGAAAATCAGACATCATGGCATAGCCGTTTGTAGTAGGCTGTTTGCCATGCAGAGAAGGAACAATTGTGAGAGTTAGGTTAATTATGAAACAGACATTCAATAACATTAGCTATGGATTAAAGAGGTAAGCAAACATATTACAGATGAACAAGTAGCTGACAATAAGCAGTTTGAATATTCATCAGTAGCCTTTGACAATCACAGGCACACAGCATATATAAATCAACAATAAGCAGGTATCAATGCTGATGAAAAGTTGTAAATATGAAGCATCAAGAAAGGCTAACAAGCAATTTATCAAACATTAGGTAGGCTATTATAAGTAATAGAACTAACCGGCAAGTAAAGCGGGGATGCAAGCCAAAACGTTAAATCCTCAAAGCAATGCTGCAGTGTAAAAACGGAAAACATGTAAAAGAAACTGTATGTTACTAGGATAACACATAAATCCACAAATACAATGAAGGAAAAGCTAAGAAAAGTTGTATTACCAAACGATGAGAGAGCAGGAGAGCGAAGGAAGGCTTGTTTATGCAGTCTGTGAACGGAGGAAAAACAAAGGAGAACAAAAGCTATTAATGTACGTAGTAAGCATGGACTGCACTATTCAATCTGACCAAATCTAGTACTCTGTATTTGAATCTAATGGCCATGAAAAAATGAAGTACAGCTGATAACTATTCAGAAGATTGACATTTCAACCTAACTCTCACAAAAAAAAGTTGTTGTCTAATCTAATTAGGTGAAAAAGGGTGTAGTTGAAGAATGGCTGTCCTTTTTTTGACATTGTTAGAAGAAAACAAGCGGAAAAACTGGACAAAAAAAAGAATATGTAAGTACATTTCTGGAGTGTTCTTAACTGGAATCGATAACTCTGTGACCTTCTTCAATCTACAATAGAAATAAGTTGGAATTATATTCAAGTATTGACTGGAACTATTGAATGTTTAACTGGAGTTGACAACTTTAAGAAACAAACGTTTAAATGAATTAAAATAGAATTGATAACAAATATATATATAGCATATTAAGTCGTAATTTTAGTTCAATTGTATAACTTTAGATGAGAATAAAATAAATATAAATACAGCAAAATTGTAGATTTTATTGTGAGGTTCTAGATTTTGTGTATAATAGGAAGAAAAATGTACATTACACTAAAAAAATAATTGTATTCTTTATAATAGGATAGGATAATTTTAAATAGCCAAATATAATTTTAAATAATACGGTTAAAAAATGAAATTCAAATATTAAAAAATTGAATTAATTTGTCAAATATAAGTTAAAATGTCAAATATAATTTACAATAATGTTAAATAAAATGTGATATATAATTTTTAATAAATATAATTATAAACAATTTAAATGATAAGATTGAAAACTGGAATAGAAATAAATAAATTTCAAGTTAATCTATCTTGAAAGGTTAATCTACATAGAACATACTCATATGTTTTAACAAATAGAATTTTAAATAATTTAAATGATAAGGTTGGAAACTGGAATAGAAATAAATAAATTTCAATGATAAGGTTGGAAAGTGAAATAAAAATAATTAAATTTTAAGTTAGTCTATCTTCAAATGCTAATGTACATAAACTATAATTATATAAATTGTATAATTAAGTCTGTTCAAAATAATGCATCTAATTTAAGTCATTTAGAAATAATTAAATTTCAAGTTAATCTATCTTCAAATGTTAACCAATTTACTATCTTCAAATGTTAATATACATATAATATACTCATATGTTTTAACAAATATAACTTTATAAATAATTTAAATGATAAGGTTGGAAAGTGAAATAAAAATAATTAAATTTTAAGTTAATCTATCTTCAAATGTTAATTTTATAAATAATTTAAATGATAAGGTTGGAAAGTGAAATAAAAATAATTAAATTTTAAGTTAATCTATCTTCAAATGTTAATGTACATATAATATAATTATATAAATTGTATAATTAAGTCTACTAAAAATAATGCAACTAATTTAAGTCATTGAATACATCTAAAAAAATGTTAACTTCATATGGCAAAGTGAAGCTTATATACAAAGCAAAAGGAAAAAGGCCCAAAATTCATCTATTGTGCCATGTGTCAGCACAACAAGGTGCTACAGTAACTTTAGGCCTTTTCTTATCTTATAGTAAGAAATTAGGGTTTCTTTAATTTGAGTGAACCCTAATAAAGATAAACAAGACATTTAATCCCAACAAAAGTCCATATGTTTGGCCTACTAAATATATAGTTTTATAAAGTATTTATGGACTTCAAGAAAATTTTGGATTTAAATGATAAATTTAGGTCAAATTATGGATATGGACCTTTGGTCCAATAAGTCTTGATCTAATTTGACTAGTTTGACCATGTTTGACCACATTTTGACTAGAGTTGACTTTGATCAAAATTTTTTGTTTAATTTGTATAATTTTAAATTTAAATATTCTTATGATTATATATATTTTAGAATAAATTAATTGAAACTATATGCCACCAAAGTGACCTCTATTGTGAAAATTAATTTATTTTAGAATATAATTAATTGGGTACTTGTGATTTTATAAATATTGATCGGCCCAAAGGAAGGTCAATATTTAATAAGATTATATGTCTATTTATAGTAATAAATACGTGATAATTATTTGATTTTTCACATGTGAATTATAAATTGGTCCAAAGAAAATTTTATTTTTGACATATTATTATTGTCAGTGTTTATTATTGTGTCGAGATATCACTTAGAAGTTAATATTTTTGTCCAAAGACAAAATATTAATGGAACATCGGTATCTTGAGATAGGGTTACCTTTATTTAAATTTATTATTATTACGGTATATATGAGCTTGTTTTAATTATATTATGTTTTCTGTTTAGTTGCGAATGATTTTACAAATATTACTACCAACATCAACAATATTCATATGCTGAATGGCACAAACTTCAAGTCTTGAAAAGAAAATCTCTTGACAGTATTTGGAATAATGAATCTCGATCTTGCGTTAAGGGATGATTCTCTCCCACCTCTTATAGATCAAAGTACCTCTGATGAAAAGAAGGATAAGAAAAGGTAGGAGAGATCAAACCACTTGTGTCTGATGATCATTAAAAAGGCTAAAGCATTCAAAGGAACAATGTTAAAAATGACAGTAACCGCTAAAGAGTTCATTTAGGACATTGAAAAAAGATTTGTCAAGAACGAAAAGACTGAAATTAGTACATTCTTGACACGCCTAGTTTCAATGAAATATAGTGATAAAAGTAATATCAGAAAGTACATCATAGAGATGTCTCATCTTGCATCAAAATTAAATGGACTTAAATTGGTACTCTTTGAAGAGTTACTAGTGCATTTGATTTTAATATCTCTTTCTACACAGTTTAGTCAGTTTAAGATGAGTTACAACTGTCAAAAGGAGACTTGATCTCTAAATGTACTCATCTCACACTATGTAGAAGAAGAGGAAAGGTTAAATCAAGATCAGACAGAGAGTGCTCATCTAGTCTTAATCGCTAATAATAAAGGCAAGGGACTTTACTACAAAAATATCCTTTTATGACATTTGAAAGCATCATTATAGCTCCATGTTATGATGTTTTAACTATAATGATGCTCTATTAGAAGCGTCATCCATTCTAACGTCATTATAAGTTTTATGACAGCTTCTATGCGTCCTAATTTGTAGTTCTTCTAGCATTTATAAATGTCATTGGTTATCGCTATTATGACACTTTGAAATGACAAGAAATGCCAGGGCACAGTTGATGTTATATAAACTTAAGTGATGCACATAACTGTCATATTTTGAAACTATCTTGACACTTCTGTCATGTAAGTACAATAAGATATTATAACACATCCACATAAGTAGAATGAAATATTATAGCACTTTTTGGTGTAACTAGATTAGGTTATTATGACACTTTTTAACATGAAATTTTGTGAATATTATGTACAATAAAAGTCGAAGTGATGACACTTTTAAGTGTTAGTACAGTATGTTGCATTACTCCTATATACCATCCATGTTTTATACCTATAAGCAGAAATCACATTTCATCCTGCCTGCATATTGTAAATCCTAATTTTTGGAATGATAAAGTAGTTAGTACCATCATATAAAGGAAAACCAAAGTTATTTACATCTTCGTAGTAACTAGTGCAATACAATGATCCAAACTGGTGCAAAAATATATCATCTAAGCAACTCACCTTAAAACTATGTCAACAAATTACATGCTAATTCAGAGATTTTCCACTAGTGAGGAGTATTGCAGTAGCATTGTCAATATATATAAAAGAAGCAGTAGCTTGATAGGAACTTGACTAAATAGCATTAACAATGTCTTCAAAAAATAGTCATTTGATCCAAGGATCATTTAGTTTTCTTTAAGATTCATCTACGTGTGTTATAAACCAAGCAATTGGAGTTACCAATCACACAGCGCGCTTCTTTTACAGTTTTAATCTTAGAAAACAAATAAAAACTAAGTTAGAGAAAAGATTACCAAGTTTATTGGCCAAGTAATGGCCACTCCAATTGTATCTCCAATCTTGCGAAAATTATGGTATGGCCTCATCAGCTCTTCATTACTCTCCACAAATGCATTCACATGGATTTCATGCCAATGCAATTGCAAAGGCGTTTCACCAAGATAAAACATAGTTTCTGTGAATGCATATTCATGACAAATATTTAGGTAGGCTCATGATTAAAAGAGAACCAAATGTTAGATTAGGTATGTCATTAAAGGTAACTTTTCTAGTAGTAAGCAATGTCAGATTGACCCTTAAGTCACAAAGATAACTATGCACATAAGCTAATAACTTAGCAAACACAAGTCATGAGGATTTATGTAAAGTTTTATTAAAGAATTCAGTAATACAAATTTAGACATTTAGCGATGATAAACAATTCCAAAATTAGAGCTACAAGTATATGTTGAATACAAGTACATGGTTTTTGTGACGCCCCCACTTCTCCCTAAGACGAACCAAAGGGTATCTGCGGGACGCCTGCCTAACTCTCGCCAGGACTCAAGCAATTCCATTTCAACTTATAGCCGGACCACACAATACAAGCCAATAACTTAGATATAATAAATACGGAAGCGTTCAAGTTTAATAATCGTCATCCATTATTCAATCCACACGTCGGTATACAAAATACATTTCACCCCACAAGTTACATTTCCATACCCAAAAGTACAATCCAAAACCAAAGGCATAACCAAGAGTAATAGCAAACCCTAAACAAAAGTACATCAGGAGGGTTTCTCCATTTCACCTCCGAGTTCAAACCTGTTAAGGAAAACAAATCTACAGGGTGAGCAAAAACGCTCGTGAGGAGGCCAAGAACACACATGCTGACACGTAGTCCAGATAACAACCAAATAATAATTCAAGTAATAGCTTGCAAGTAATTAATAATGCCAACAAAATGTAACCAGAAACAATTCAAGGATATGGAAGCTCTCAGGAGCTAAGTTCCACATTTTGCCGATATCATTCGTATATCTCCCCGTGTGACTCTCCGTCAACCGGGTTGATATTTTCATATCCGTAGTTCACCACTTACTTCTCATCCGTCCACCATACAACGCTTCGGGCCCGTACGACATTTATAAGGCGATACTTCACGAGTATGCCAAGCGAGATCTCTCAAATAGATCAAGCTTATCATGTAATTCTCATGACTCACCAAGGTTCCTGACCAGGCTCATGCCGGCTCAAGTTCCAAGGTCGGCCTATGAGTTTGGGCGTCCCCCATGTATCATGTAAATGTCGAGGAGATTCACTCCATCGACGTATGCAATCATAGCATATCATGTCATATAATCAAGCATTTGACAGGTTTAAACATGTATTTCAGGT